CTAATCTAAGCCAGATTAAAAAAAGAGTAAAATAAGGCTGCATAAATAGTCTGGCGCCATCCCATTCAACAGTAAACATTTTATGAAATACATTCAGGGAACACGACAAAAAATGGCTACCTCGTAGATAACGTCCATTTTCACTGAGGGTAGCAGACCAGTAAACAAACTTCCATAGACCCCAATGGTAAATGCTCCCACTTCAAAAATTCGGGGAAAATACTCACAACTCTCCAAGGTGTTCGAGACACACATCAAATTAAAGCTTATTTCATCATCTTTCATTTTCTTTTCAATTTTCGGGGGGTCAACTGATGACTTTTATGGGAAATTTCCATCTGAAGATGATCACCCCTGAAAATAGTCCTGAAGCCCATCGCCATTTTGAAAAACGATGCCTACACTCCATTGCAAAATAGAGCGCTTTTAGGGTCCAAATTACATCGAAATTACACAGAACTGCAAGCTCCCAGTCCTGTGCACGGCTTCCACCCATATTTTCTACAAACTCTCAAGTTCATGGCCCACAGCATGCTCAAATACTGAAGATTTTGAGGGCATGCAAATCGTGATTTGGCCGGCGCAGGCAATTTCGGACCGATTTACTGGTCTGCACCCTATAGTCTGTGGCAGTGTTGTAGTCGAGACCGGATAGTCCGAGACCAAGACCGAGACCTGAAGTTGCGAGACCGAGACCAGCCCCTTCAAGGCGGACCGAGACCGAGACCGAAATGGTCCGAGACCGAGACCGAGACCGAGACCGAGACCGCGACCGCGGATAATAAATAACAATAATCTAAATAAACAACAAGACACTAATTACAGCTGAACAGTCTGTCTTTGAGGATGTGAAGGAAGTGATTGAAAGTTAGGAATCACTTGTACCTGCTTAATTGTGTCATGCGAGTGCTCTTCGTGTTTGCTTCATGCCATAAATTACAACATGGCAACAGAATTTGTTATTGTCACAATCAATTAAAAAATTAGAAACAACCTCATTTAAAGAAGGGAAAAAACTTATTTGATGAACTCCATATATTTTTAAAATATTGTTTAACTACTATAAAGTGTAAATCTGATGAAGAAACTCTAACTTAGGAGTACGACAATTTGTACTAGTTTTTGCAAAACTTGAACATGTTGAAACTTGACAAAAGTAAAAAGTTAAAGGTGGATGTTTCAACTGTTATAGGAACTCGGACCCTAAACTCCATAGCCACCCCTTGGTTTCAGCAATGACCGATATTTGAATGCAACTTTAATTTTACATTGGACCTCCTTGTAAACCTGATTCGAAAGACATTTGGAGCAAGAAAATATTGATTTATTTTTTAAAATTTCAGTCATGGAATATAGATTTGTACATGTAGACCAAAAAATTGAGAGATGGTAGCCAGATATGGATTGGTCTGCCCCCCCCCCCCCCCCCCATCCCTCTGTGATTCTCCTTCCAACCCTGCATGTTTGTGTGTCCCCTACATGTTTGTTTCTTGTTCCTTTGTCATTTACCTCTGAAGAAGGCCTGGCTAAGGCTGAAATGTATTGCCATTTTATTTTTGTTTAATGTCAATAACGTTACATATACTATAGAAGATTGATGAACTATATTTGCCTGATCTATCTTCTGTTAATCTGCCCGCCGTCATCATCGCCATTAGCCTATTTGAGAATATGGCCGACACAACAGAAGGGCGCTGTCACAAACTGAATGTGGTGGGCGAGATGTACTTTTAGGATTCATGGCTCAGTGCGCCTCCTCTCTGTGTTTTGTACCGTGCCAGCGTATCGCCCGCATCGGCTACTTTGCTGGGCAATTTACTTGGATATTTTAGTGATTAACAAGTACGACATATTGCCAATATATTAATAGTTCATTGTGATGGCCGTAAACAGCATATAGCGATTAATGGAACACAATTCTTCTCGACTCATGCAAATGCAATTGACATTTAGGAAGGAGACGAGGCAGGCAATTAGACTCTATTTTTGTGTGACCATGGCAGTAGCTCAATTTGTGTTTATCACAGATGAAAAGATGAATACATGGCGAGTCAAAAAGAAAGTGACCGTATGATAAAAAAAAAATGGCACGTTCCATTGTGTAAAAAATATAATTGGGATAAAGAACATGTTATTGAGTAGTAACTGTGAACATTTCACGTAATGTGCATACTCTATTCCCAAGTCGTGTCTATTTTAATAAAGAGATCACAAAATTCAGCTGTCCACCACTAATACCAATTTAACGGTCTACGAATTGATGAATATCCGTTAATAAATATAATGAAAAAAAAAAACGTTTTCCCGCCTCCACGAGTAAAGGAAAAATTGAAAAGGAAAATAGAAAAAAAATCACCAATATTTCTAGGGAAAAAGATTTGAATTGTTCCCCATATTCAAAATACAAAATCTGACGGTAAAAATAATGTTTCAGTCTTGATTCATAAGATTTAAATCTCAGTTGTATTTGGAATCAGTGAGGATGGCTATAAAGTGCTTGTTTCAACAGATCATCCCACAATAAAAACGAGAAATAAGAAGAGGAGCAATGGTTATTGGACTGTGCCTCACTCACTAGAAAGTGAAGAGAGACATGTCCATAAGCATCACACTGCAGTCACATTTGCCCTAAACTGATTCTTTACTTAATCCGCCCCCTCCCATTTTTTTCGCAGGTCTCGACTCGAGACCAGCCAAAATATCGAGATCAAGACCGAGACCACAGCTCCCGAGACCGAGACCGAGACCGGCAAAAAGTGGTCTCGAGACCGAGACCGAGACCGGTCTCGAGACTTACAACACTGGTCTGTGGGAGTCAATTTACAGGCATAGTGACCGTTTTAGCCGATTTTCGGCTAACTTTGACAGATTTTTTGTTAAAAAAACGAGTTTGACAGAAAATTTGACAGAATGGATTTTGTTTGGCAGAATTCTGGCAGAATTCTGCAAAAATGGTTATTTGACAGAAAAACAGCAAAATTCTGGGGAATTTGGCAGATTTTTGATAAATCTGACAGATTTTTGAAGCGCATTTAGCAGAATTTAGTCATGACCTTACGGTCACCCTGTTTACAGGTCTGCACCGTCAAGCCAAAGAATAAAGATGAGCCGTTTAGGCATTCAGGCCCATGACTGCATGTCATGTTGAATCTTCGAAACAGAAAATATACTGGAGTTGCGGTCCCAATATTTTCTTTTAATAAAGAGTGGCGATACCAACACAATGGACTCTCCTCCTTTTGTGTCTTGGACAATAGACCTTTAATACGCGTACACCCAGGCAAAATTTAACCACAGACCTATAAATTTGCAGCGTTAATCATTTTTTTATAAACTCCTATTGACTTTTTTTTCATCAATAGACATCTCAAATAATATGACAAGTGACGCGTAACAAAATGCATTCCTTTACTTTCATACCGAGCGTGATTAACATGTATTTATCGAGTACTGATGCATGGCAGACACGCATCCCATCGATTGAACCACGTTGAGTATGGGAGGATTCACGAGGAGCGGGTTGGCTAAAAAAAAAAAATAGCCCCAAATATAACGTCATCACTCAATACAGGGTGAGTAAAAAAAATAAACGAAACCCAAATCTCGGGACTATTGGTTTAGTGAAGTTCTGCATGTAGCACTTTCAAAATCTAGGATATGAAAGCCCAATTCATAAGCTTTCTTTTAGTACAAGAATCATTCAAATCACCCATGTACTTTTCATGTTACGGAATTTTAAACACAACCGCCGTTTTAAAGTTTTGTCCACGGATCACAGAAAAAGGTGTGCGATATTTCAGCAAAACGAAAACGATTCACACGCATCCCTATGTGAATTGTTTTCGTTTTACTGAAGGACTTTTCTGTGATCCGTGGACAGAACTTCAAAACGAATGTTGTGTTTAAAAGTCCGTAACTTGAAAGTACATGAGTGTTTTGAAATGATTCTTGTACTAAAAGAAAGCTTATGAATTGGGCTTTCATATCGTGGATTTTGAAAGTGCTACATGCAGAACTTCACTAAAAAAAATTTTCCCGACATGTGGGTTTCGGGTTTTTTTTACTCGCCCTTTATTGCATATCTCGATTCACTGTTTCAGGCCTTTGGTCTTGTATCCACGCCCTTCCGGTTTGAAATTATCTTGGACTTTGCAAAGCCTGGATCTTTCTACTCTAGTTCAGCTTCCTTATATTATCACTCATGTCTGCAAACTATCAAATAAAAATCATCCTTATCTCCCTAACAGGTTTATTGCATATAAAACCATGCCTATGAATCACACAAGAATACTTTTAAATAATTGATTGCAGACAATTTAGGAATTTATTTTACTGAGTACCATTTTATTAGATTGCCGGACAAATATTTTTCTCATAATTTTCTCAAAGCTCCAGGTGGCTGGATTTCATCTAATTATCTATGAATATTTTGCCAGACAACAATTTTCGATATTTTTCCAATCGTATTTTTTCGACTGATACGTTTAATAACAAGAAAACTAAAGCTTTATTGCCATTTTGTTATGCATCTACATTCGGCTGCTGAAAAAAAAACACTTAAATTTTATTTTAGGTTAAGTTTGCGCAAAAGCAGATGAAAGACTGGTTCACGGCCCATACAGGGTGAGTCTAAAAAACGAAACCCAAATGGCCGCAGGACCAATTTTTGAATGAAGTTTTGCCTGTAGCACTTTCAAAATATAGGATACGAAAGCCCAATTAATGAGCTTTCTTTTGGTACAAGAACCATTCAAATCACTCAAGTACAAAGGTTAGTGTTCTTTTAGCAAAACGAAAACAATTCATATGCATCCCTATGAAAATTGTTTTCCTTTTTCCGAAAGAACACTTACTTTTTTGTGATACGTGGACGGACTTTAAAACGGTGTTTGTGTTCAAAATTCCGTGACATGAAAAGTACACTAGTGATTTGAATGATTCTTTCCTAGATTTTGAAAGTGCTACAGGCAAAACGTCATTCAAAAATTGGTCCTGCCATTTTGGTTTCGTATTTTGTTGACTCGCCCTGTATTTTATCGACTCTGATAGTGACGGAAACTAGCCTACCATTCGACTCAACTTTGAGTTATTGTCTGACTTCAATCAATTTGAAAAGTACATGTACAATTATTTCATATAGCTAAACGTGGACTTTTCTTCTTGTCTCATTTAAAAAGTGAGTAACTTTCGTACATGTATTTCAGAAAAATAGCAATTAAGTTTTTGTTTCTGGGTTAAACTTGAAAACAGCACAGACAGAAGTTTTCAATTTATGATTTTTGAACCACTTTCTAAAAATAACAATAGTTTCTGTCTTATGTATCACATTAAAGACTCTAACATCAAAGTATTTACATTCTCGTCAATGTCATTTCTATAGATGTGTTTCGACAAAGTCCACGTATATTGGCCAGAATGAGTTTTTGTTTTGATTCGGATAGCTGTTTGAAATCTGTATAGTCGCAAGGAGACTATTGACCAGTTCATAATGACATTGGGTTCTTAAAAGTGCAGCTGTGGTGCAGGTCGGATGCATATTGCAGGGACTAGATTATCACAATCCACGTCATTCCATTTCCCTCCTGACCATACCTCAGCGCAGTTCTCATAACCTCTGCCGTCAGGTTGGCTGCCCAAATGAGTGTCCCAATTCCTGTACTCCACTTCGTCAGTACCATCCTGACACTTCCAAGTATCTATCCAAAAAATAAAAAATAAAAATAACCATGTAAATAAAAATAGTAAACACATGAGGGTGCATAGGAATCGACAAACAATAATGATTCTTCGAAAGAAACAACGGTGATCTTTTTATTTGTTGAAATTCTGTGTTTGTGTAAGTTTATTTAATCATGAACATTCTTTTTTATTTCTATGTTAAATCATGACACTATGAAATCATGTAATCCTTTGAAATAGACAAACCTTCTTCCTCGAGATCGTTGCAATTGATCCAAAACAAGTCTGTACGCTGTTGCCCCGGCTGTAACACTAGCGTTTTGAGGAAATCAGTTTCCTCATCGGACTGTGGCAAGACCAAGGCACCTCCCATCTTGATGCACTCTTTTTTTGCCTCAGACCAAGTCAGAGGCTCTATGATGGCTTTGTAGTATTTGCCGCCCCACTTGATCCAACTAGAAGGACCCGCCCCTCTAATGGAGGCCTCACACATCTCGTCACCAGCAGTGCAACCCATCATCAAATGAAGGCTTATCAAGCCAAAGATGAACCGTTTACGCACCATGATTTCTCCGGTCTTACCCCACTGGGGTCTAGTGCTGAAATGACTAAACCGCCGCATATCAAGCTCTCGTAAACCAGACTGCATTAAATATGCAGACACGGTACATATAAATACATGTACACAAATACCTAAGATAGTTTACCCATTCCTATTGGTCGAGAACCCGTCACGTGTGTGGTCTTAATCGGTTGATAAAACACCGAGGCTGGCTGGTTTCAAACGCTTTTCCGGGTGTTGCATGAATTTTGGACTCCTTTGAAAATGTGGTCCCTTTTACCCTTATTTTTACCTGCTTTAATTGGTTGAAATACAATCTTCACCTAGACATGCGCAATGACTACCAATGAGTCGATATTTTGAGCGTCATAAATTCACAACACACCACCACCCCCAATTATTGGCGCTCGCACCACCGTGGAGGTAGGAAACTCGCACCAAGAAAGAATGACAAAATAATGACAATATTTTTTTTGAGGGGGGGGGGGGTGGTGCTTGACCGGAAATCCCCAAAAATGTTATGTTTTGGATTGTTTACTTAAAATCCCATTTCAAAGGTCTGGTTTAAAGGAAACTAACCTAATGTCTTATACCGTTCCCGAAAATAAGACGGGAAAAATACCGGTTGTTTACATCGGACGCGGCAGACATTTTGTGACATACACATACGTATTTCCAGCCGTGTCCATTCAATGTACGGTACACGTGATTGCGAGTTTGTTTCTGCATTCATTAGGGGACGTTGGACAATAGAGGACAATAGGGTCCCCAATTCTCGAGAGGTCCCCAAGTTGGATTCGTGTACAAAACATATGGGAGGTCTTCCTAAAAAGTTAAAAGTACAAACAAAAGAGGGACAATAGGTGGTCCCCGATTGCAGGCGAATACACACTTGGGTGTGGGGGTGGGGGTGGGTGAGCTTGTCTTACATACGCAGTGTGGACTTCCGAACAAAAGACGTCCACATAATGTAGGTAGCACCGACGTTGTGTGGACTTGCCCACGTCCACACAGTGTTTCCCCATTTCTGGAAAACAGGTTTAGAGGCATTTTTGGGTTAGGTTTATCTGTAGCAGAATGAAGAGAAACACTAAAGGGAATCATAGAAAAAAAATTGGGTTGAAAGAGTTTTCACAGTTCGAGAAAAATGAGTTTTTTCACTGGTTTTTCTTAACTACACGAAAACAATGGAAAGTCCACACTAGTCATGTGAAACAAGGGGGGGTGGGTGTGTGTGTGTGTGTGTTGCATAATACACGCAGCACCAATGTGTTTCGCACGTCCGCAGAATGCGATGTATTTTTGAGAGTCAAAATGTTGACCCCAAAACTGGTTCTCGCATGGTTCTTGCACTCGCAGGAATAACACAAACTTCCCAGTTTTGAAAGGATGGTTGTGTGGCGTTCAACCTTCTTTTAAATGCTCTTTCCAATTATCATCATTTCGTTGAAGACGCATTTTGTTGCCCGATTGGGCGCATTCCAGGAAGCAATGTCTCTTTCACGCTTTCAGAAATGAGAAGTTAGTGTTAAAAAAATTTTAATTTTAAAAGAGATATTTCTTTGATCACGATATTGCATTCCCCCTCCTTAAGAGCGGTAGAGGCACACGAGACCATCGTAATACGCACTCGGCTCACATACCCCTTCCGCCATAATTGGATGGATGTATCAAAATTATTGATTGGCGTTGCTATAGTAAATAATTCCGACACTGAAACTGAAAAGGACAATTTTATCAAAATGCGGCGGGCAGAGGCAATTAATGGTTGTGTCTCTTTTGTACATGTTCATAAAATATGCAAGACTTCAGCTCGTTTGTTAAATTTCTACGCGGCAGGCACAAAGCAGGATGGCTAATATTAATAGGGTACATGCAGGTATAAATATAGGACTTGCACGTTTATTAGATGCATGAATTAAAATCGCTGCTTGGTTGACCATGGGCTCCGTGCACATGTACTCCTTTAACAAAACGGCCAGAGAAGGAGAGTTGGGGGAGTCTGGTTCCTGGTCCATCCACTGCGTATTTCGAATGATCCAAAGTTATTGGGGGACGGGGATTAGGCTGGAAAGACCATCGCAACCTCTAAGGTTTGATAAATCGTTGACATCTCTGCCAATATGGCAGACTGATTCACGAAAGGACATTTCTGTGGGGAAATCACTAAAAAAAAACTGACCAGGTGTATGAAGTTAACAGTTCTTTTTTTTTGCTGTGATATAAAATTAGATATTTTATAGAATATAGGCCTGCTGTTATATAAAATGTCTAGGGGATGAGCTCAATTCTTGATTTAGAATGCTTATGAAGTGTGTTGAGATTTTGAAGCGTGTGTGGTGCCGTATACCAGCATGCCATTGTGGATCTCTAAACAAAAGAGCCTCCGCATAAACCAGGTAGCAGGGACGTTGTGTGGACTTGCCCATGTCCGCACAATGTTTCCCCCTCTCTGGAAAACAGGTTTAGAGGCATGTTGGGGTTAGGTTTATCGGTCGCAAAAGACAGAGGAAATCATGGTAAAAATATGGGTTGAAAGAGTGTTCACAGTGGGAGTAAATAGAGTTTTTTGCCGGTTTTCTTAACTAGAGCGACGAAAACAAAGGAATGTCCGCAGTAGTTATGTAAGGTAAACACATGGGTGTGTATTAGGTTATCATAATTATACGACTGAGGACTTGGGACAATGTGCGATAACAATGGGCCCGGCGCTGCCCGAGGACCAGGGCACTATAGTCCTCGGAAGAATTTCTTTAACAAACCTTATGCCAGGAGCTGTCGAGAAAAAGTCGAAATACTCTATTTGTTTCGGTCATTCTTTTTTACTGTTTGACGGTTTCCCATAAAATTAAATATCGTCATGTTAAAGAGTCATCATGACAAGTCACTGGACGAAATTTCAATTTTCTAATCACCTCGTTTTTTGGGAGCAACAACTCCAACAAAAATTCCAAACGCCTTGGAGATCTACGTACCAATTAGGTTTATGGGAGTCGATTTACAGATTCGAATTTGTAGCAGAAAAAGTTGATCTTCTTTTCTGAATCGAGGCTCCGGAGAATTTTTTTAAGGGAAGTAAAGTCCGAAATTTTGCACAAGACGAATATTACTAGTTTCAACTCAAGCACGACGATAAAACCATGCTCCCATAGGAAAGCACACAAAAGTGCGAGGTGTATCCCCAGATCGTTGTGTAAAAATAAAAAATAAAACTAGACATATGTTTGTGGACAAACATAGGGCTGTTTCGGTAGCTTTTTGTGACATGTGACATGTGTTCCATCAACGAAGGATGTGTAGTTCTGTTTATAATAAATGGTGACATATATTATGTGATTCCATTCTCATAGGGCTTTGAATTATGACGTCACATGTTACGTGATGATGTCATGATGACGTCACATAAAGTTTCATCTATTACTATAATATTATGGTAAAGAACAACTAAGCCAGAGCAAACATCGTTGAAAGCAAGTTCACGTCTTTCACCAATTTTAAATAACAAAGCACTTCCGGTTTCAACCAGAAGAAAGGGTCACGTGATTTATTTGCACATATTTAAAAAATGAAGACCCTCGATAATTCTATCAATTCCCGCAAAAATCATGTTCAGGTCTTTCACGGTTGATTTTATACTGATTTTTAAAGATGAAATCTATTAATCTTTAACGAGAGGTCACGTAGCCCATGATGACGTCATCATGACGTCACTTCAATTTTCATCTATAACACATCCCGGTCTAGGTACATACCAACTTTCAATCCAATCGGACCAGTTGTTCTGTAGATATTGGCCTTCGAAGTATGCACGTTTGGTATGACGTCACATGTCACGTGATGATGTCATCGTGACGTCACTTCAATTTTCATCTATAACACATTCCGGTTTAAGTACATACCAAGTTTCAACCCAATCAGACCTGTATTTCTGTAGATATTGGCCTTGAAAATATATCACATTTGATATTACGTCACATGTCATATGATGACGTCATCATGACGTCACCTAAATTTCCATCTAAAACACATCCAAGTTTGGGTGCATACCAAGTTTACACCCAATCAGACCTGTAGTTCTACAGATATTGGCCTTCAAAATATGCAATTTCGAATATGACGTCACATGCCACGTGACGACGTCACATGTCACGTGATGACGTCATCGTAACGTCACTTAAATTTTCATCTATAAAACATCCCGGTTTAGGTACATACCAAGTTTCAACCCAATCGGACCTGTAGTCATGGATATATAGGCCTTCAAAATATGCACTCATATTGTGACGTCACATGTCACGTGATGACGTCATCGTGACGTCACTTAAATTTTCATCTATAACACATCCCGGTTTAGGTACATACCAAGTTTCAACCCAATCGGACCTGTAGTCATGGAGATATAGGCCTTCAAAGTATGCACCTATATTGTGACGTCACATGTCACGTGATGACGTCATCGTGACGTCACTTAAATTTTCATCTATAACACATTCCGGTTTAGGTCCATACCAACTTTCAACCTAATCGGACCTGTAGTTCTGGAGATATAGCCCAATCTGTCAGATCTAGCCGAATTCTGCTAGAAAATGGTCACAACAGAACAATCGCATATAATGTGACGTCACGTGACTCATGATGACGTCACGATGACGTCAATGTTCGGCACACAACTTCAGGTGCTGGTCCAAGTGTGTGCCAAGTGTAAAGGCAATCAGATTGATTTTAGTGCCCAAAGTGCCGGGGACAAAAAAACGTGCACAAATGCTATGGGCAAAATGACTGAAAAAGAAAAAAAATAAAGTAAAACTAGAGTTTCGCGTTTGTTTAAATACAAACGCAGAGTGGTCGGGCGGACAGCCTTTTCATTATACACTGCCCAGTTAAGTTAGGAATATATGCTTATGTAGAAAAAAGGATTAAATTAAATCCCTTCAAGTACAATCAATGTTTCAAAAAGGTATCTTTAACGGTGTGACTAATTTCAGTAAACATTCTATGTGCACAAAAAGTTACATCTGGTTTGATGCCGTCAAAAATGGTTAGTGAATACTGATAAAGTTCGG